GTTGTTTTTGCCGTTTTATAGAAGGATACAACTTTTAAGAAGTTTGAGGTGTCACTAAAGCCAAAAAAATAGCATCAAAGACACTTCTCTGCTTGAACTGTATCTTTTCACAAAAAGCTTGTTTTCTCCATTTATTGGTCAAAAACTGGTGTTTTGTTGAAACCAACCTATGTTCTACTGCTGATTACTAAAGAACGGAATAAGGTAGAAACACATTTTTTTTTCCTGATGAAAGAAGAGAGTCTACTCTTTCTTTTGGTGTGTTCGGTGTTTACATAGTCATAGCACAAACTATTCTGTGGCTCTAGAAAAATCAGTCAAAATGCTCAAAAAACTCTGGCAGTATGGGACTCTGTTCTGAAAATGGCTGCCAGTCAGTGAGTTAATACGAGCACATGCCGGCTTTAGAGCCCGTGTCCAGAGATTTGCTGTAATGGGATAAACATGACAGCGTGGCGTTTTACTCCTGATGCAGAAACAGGCTGCTGCTCTGAACCTCTGGGCTGAGGTTAGTCTGTCTGGATCCATGCACCTGCAGCTTTATGACCAGCGTTTAAAACCCGTACGCCACGCTGATCCTCCAGGGGCTCCAAGTATGAAACACAACGGGAGAAACAAAAACTCTGAGCTCCTGCTGGATCACCTGAGCTTCGGATTGTTAGTTTGCCCGTCGAGTGGGACATGGATTAACCCTTTAAAGCCTGATCCAAGAATAAAACAAAACAGAAAATTACTTTTTTGTGTTTGAATTCCTTATTTGGCCTTTTAACAAAATATGTAAAAGGCCAAATAAGGAATTCAAACAGAAAAACATTTTTAATATTAATAATTTATTACTATGCGGCGATAAATCCAGATTATTTTTTGTGTATCTTCTGCCCCCTGTTATCAGGTGTATCTGATTGTGTACAATAGGATTTTGAGCAAAGTTTTTACCATTAAATTATGCAAAAGGAGTCAGACGCAAAATATTTCAGAAACCGTATCAGATATGATAGATATTAGATTACAGGGTTAAGTTATAACATACTATGCTAACGTGAGTAATTATAGCCCGATTCTAACAGGATGCATCCAAAACAAAACACCTGCAGCCTAATCTTTCAGCAATAATTAATTTGTTAAAAAAAAGTCTCCTTTTGTGTAGCGTTTCTCCTCTTTGCTCAGACCTAAAACATCCGAGGTTTCGTGTTGAATTTTTCTGACCACCTCTGAATAAGCCGAACTTTTTTATCCATCCTTGAAGTCATAAAGTGCCTTTGAGCTGGCTGACTTTCTCCTGTCAGCAGCAGGTTGTTGTTTTACCATGCAGAATGCTTTTCATATTAATAGCATCTCCGTCTTTATCTGGGATTCTTGGAGAGCTAAACTCGTGTCAGAGCTCATAAACCAGATGGTGGAGAGGCTAAAGGACAACAAAAGAATAAAATAAAATAAAAAAATAAAGGACAACAGCCCTGGCTCCACACACACCTGGAAGCTGTGGACCGCCTCTTCTGAGCTTCTTTTCACACTGAAACAGTTTGAAACTTGTGGCAGTAAAAGTTAAAGACTAATTAAACATGTTGTAATGCAAGAAAACCACAGTAGAAGTCACCAAAATGGGAATAAAAGTCCAGGATGGAGAGAGTCAAACGACACATGGTTCCAACCTCAAAGGAGAAATATCATACCCTATTTCAACAAGTTAAGCTAGTTCCTGGTGTCCTAATGTAATGTCTGTGACAAGCTTTGGTCAGAATCCCATAAGGATGAAGCCCAATAGCAGGCTAACGCTACCATGCTAACGCTACCACGCTAACACTACCATGCTAATGCTACCACGCTAACGCTATCATGCTAACGCTCACGCTACCAGGACGTCTCCACAGATAGGGGAGTAAGCTGAGGGGGGGGGCAACATGCAGGTGAAAGGCTGGAATATTATAATGAGCTAGATAATATATAATAATATTAATATAATAATAATAATAATATTCTAATGAGCTAGAGCTAATGACGTCAGAAACTACCCACTCCTGAAACCTCCTGATTTATCTCCTGGATTCAGACTGAGGCAGACAACAAAAACATAATTTTTTTCACACTTTTCCTGCTGATAGACCCTCCACAGTCCCAAATGTACACAATCACATGATTAAAAACCTGGTTTGGCATAATATGTCCCCTTTAAAGAAATTAGGTAACATAGAGACGATGCGATGTTGAGAGTCCTTTGGCCTTTTGTGTGGATTCTGCTGGCGGGCGATTCTGAGCAACACCCAAATCCAAACAGCCAGGAGCTCCACTGTCTCACATTTATTTATCCAGAGGAGCAGAAACGAAGAATCGGCTTTGATGATGTCAAAAGCCTCACAGGGATCCAAATACCTGGGAAAAGGTTCCATTCTGTTAGATTCTGTTAGGGCCGACCAAAGAGATGAGAACTCTGTTATATACTGCAGTGTTTTTAACCCCTGGTCCTCGGTACACTAGTGTGCTGTAGAAAATCATCCTATTTCACCTCATTGGTCTAAAAAGATTTTTTGATAAGGAATTAATTATCTGTAAATAATATTCCCTTTCTGAGTGTGTGTGCTGTTCTAGTGACTGGTGGAGTAATCATGTAATAATTCCTTATGACTAGATTTTGTATTTCATTTTGAATATTGAATTGGACATGTTAAGAGCAATTTGAAAGAAGAAATATAAAATATGATAAAAATACATTTTTAAGTTTATTTGATTCCTATTCAAGACACTTAATATAAGATAAGAATAAAATAAGAATAACTATAGTGTTACTATAGGCGGCTACAGATTTCTTTAACATTTTTGGTTGGTGGTGTGCCTCGTGATTTTTTCAATGAATAAATGTACCTTGGCTCAAAAAAGGTTGAAAAACTCTGTTATCTACTGACCTCAACCGGCTTTACAATCAGCCTCCGGTTTTCCTTTAGAAAGAAAAAAAGAAGTATGGAAAAACAGGGATAAGGCCGGAAAACCCCACGCCCATTTGGAAGTAATTCCAGTTCCATCTGAAAGCTTTTGGCTGTGATAGCATCACACTTTAGCATTAGCGTCCTGGGACACAAACCGGGACATTTTGCAGACATTTTGTTTCATAGTCTTCATCAGAAGTGTCCCAGAGAGGAAGAGCCAATGCTTTTGTTCCTTTATGTTTCAGAAAGAAATCCTTTAACATGCTGCTTGGATAGTTCAGTAAAAAACAAAACAATACAGAGAACCCTCGCTATATGGCAGTTCACCTTTCACGGATTTGCACCGTGCATTGTGTTCTGCGTTCTGATTGGCTAAACAGCTTCTTCTCTACCTGCTTGCTAAATTTACGTTTGCAAATTCTCTTGAAATTTCAACTTTCTCTAAAACCCGTAATGTTGACAGAACGACTCTGACCAAGGCCCGAAAGGCAGATGAAGAAGCTAACTATCGCTAACTATCAAACCTCTGGACATGCTAAAGGAAGCTACAAGCTAACTATCGCTAACTATCAAACCTCTGGACATGCTAAAGGAAG